GAAAGCTTGGTGCGGACAGCCCTGGAAGCAGCCAACATTCAAGCACCAAGGGGCGAGCTGGAGTGGAGCCTCACCTGGCGACAAGCGGCGCTGCCGGTCGTCCTCGGAGGCCTCGGCATCACCGACCCCACCTCGGAAGCCACGGCTGCATACCTAGCCTCCACGATAGTAGCGGCACGCCTCCTGGCTGATATGCACCTACCGGACGGACTCCTCCGAGAGGCACAACACCTACTGGGAGCAGGAGGGGAAGGCGACCTGCCACTTCACTCTACAGTGCGGGACATGGAATCCCGTCTGCCTGAAGCGGCTAGGCTGACCCTGGCGGACTAGCCTATACTATCATATTGCATGTATGTTTAACACATCCCCTAGGCTAGACTTGGGGTTGTGCCGGGCAAGAGGCACGCAACTCAGGGTGGCACTACTAGTCCAAACTCTGAGGCAAGGATCTGAAGACCAGTCAGGAGAGTCAAACAAGAGAAGAGCAAACCAGGGCGGCACTATACGAGGCCACAAGGCCACAAGGCCAGTCCAGAGAATATAATAAGACTCGTACACAATCAAGGCCCGAGCAAGTGTGAAGCTACAGGGACTAAACCTAGTTGTACACAGTGCCGCTGATGATCTTTAGGCGTAAGCGCCTTAGTAATGATAACAGCTGTGAGTGAACTACGGGAGCCTGGCGGCGCTGCTGTGAGAACGACCTCGTTACACCAATTTCCCTTTCCATATCTCCTTTCTATTTCATTCCTCTTTTATCTCATCTCATTTGGTTTCCTATTCCTCCTATTCCATCATCCTTAGGTTTAACCTGTTATTATAATTCTATCACCAACCAGCCTCAAGATGTACTGGCGCGCTATATCTAGCGGAATCCTGCCTTAATCCCTTAAAGCCAATAGCCTCGCGTGGCTATACGCAGGGTGATTCTATTTCTAGAAGGGTCTATTCCCTTTGGAGAGGATAAACTTAGTTACCTGATGTACTTTGGAAGTATAAAAGCACCTTGTATCAATCTATAGTGCAACTTTTCCTCGACACATTCGATCATGTAACACTTGGTAATCAGAGCTTTTCTCACTCAGCCGCGCTCAGCTAAGCAGAAGTAGCGGGAAAGCTTGCCTCGAAAAACCGCCGGGGGCGACTAATTCGGAGCCGATTCTGGTAAGCACCAGCTCCGCGCTTTTCGAATCCACCCCCCCGTGCGTGTTTTGAACAGAATGGCCAACTTCGACAATGTCGAGGTTACCCAGCAGCTCTTTGCGAGCATCACCGCCCTTCATGAGGAGATGCGAGCCGATCGCGAAGCTTGGCGAAACAAGTTCGAGCGAGTAACTCGACTCACCGGCGCGCAGTACGACACGACAACAGCGACGACGTATCAGTCACAGCAGTTTCTCGAGGCTCCAAAACCGCGCCCACCTGAGCCGTTCGATCCGGGCGATCGAAATTCCGACGCCCGTAGATGGATCGCCGGCATGGAGATATACTTCGCAGCCGTCGGATGGAGCTCGCCAGTTTGATGCGAAGACCGGCACTCGAGTGGATCGGAGGTCATAGTATCTTCATCCACGGCAAAGCCACGTGGCAGCAGTTCTGCACCGACCTGCTCAAACGCTTCGAGCCGATAAATTCGGGTTTCCTTGCCTGGGAAAACATTTATTGCCATCGACAGTTCGGGAGTGTAGCGCAGTACACGCAACATATGGAGGAATTCTATAACCGCATTCCTGACCTGACCAAAGGGGGAAAAGTACAGTCGTGTCTCGCCGGGCTGAAGACCGAAGTCAAACGACAGGTAGCAGTGACAAACTACACAAGCTACAGTGACGTCATTTCGTCAGCAGAACGGTTCGACATGGTCAGCGCCGGAACACGACGGACGCACGTTGGCAGTGCGCGACAGGGCGACCGCTCGGCTCAACCCACGTTCGCTGACCCGATGGAAATCAACAGGTTCGACGGGCGGTCACGTCAGAAAAACACCAACTACACGTGTGATTTTTGTGGGGTGCCGGGACATCGAATCTTCGACTGCAACAAAATGAAAGTTGCACACGCAGAGTATTGGGCACGCAACAGTGACGGAAATTCTTCGGCCAATCAGAAGATAAAAAACGGAATTCACCAGTGGTTGCGGATCTAGCTGGCGAAAAAGAAAGGATCTGAAAGCGGCCGCGGGATTCCAGGAAAGTCGACTTCAACGAAGCAGATTCGACGCGAGCAGGAGGCAATGATGGGGAAAAATCTCCACCCCACGACCAGTCTTCGCCAAAGAAAATCGCAGAAAAAAAAACCTGGCGATAGCGATGGATGTGGAAAGCGACGGAGAGAAAACCTCGGAACCTCCACAAAAAATCAAGGAATTACTGAAGCAGTTCCACAACATTCTTCCCGATGACCTTCCGAACGAGCTGCAGCCATACCGAATGTACCAACACGAGATCGTGGAAGAACCAGGTTCGAAGCCGACCTTCTGAGCACCATATCGGCTCAGCCCCACGGAGCTAGCCGACATGAAGAAACAGATCGAGTATCTCCTCGCAAAAGGACTCATCCGACCATCCACTTCGCCATACAGTGCCCCTGTACTCTTCACACCGAAATCGGACGGAAGCCTGCGCATGTGCATCGATTATCGAGCTCTCAACAAGCAGACCATCAGGAAAAAATGCCCAATTCCACGAATCGATGACCTGCTTGACCATCTTCGGGGAGCTACGGTATTTTCCAAACTGGATCTGCGGTCCGGATACTGGCAGATACGAATGGCGGACAATTACATCCACAAAACTGCCTTCCGGACTCGATACGGGTCGTACGAGTATCTAGTAATGCCGTTCGGACTCACCAACGCACCGGCAACGTTCCAAGCTGAAATGAACCATATTCTATGCCCACTCTTGGACGAATGCGTAGTGGTCTACGTGGACGACATCCTCATCTACTCGCACGACATGCAGCAGGACGTCAAACACCTACGACGCGTCTCCGACATTCTTCGACGAGAACGATTTTACGTCAAGCTATCCAAGAGTGAATTCGCCCTCAAGAAAGTCCAGTGGGAAGAACATGCCCTATAAGTGGGAACCAAAACATCAGGAAGTCGTGGAGTAGCTGAAACAAGAACTCACGTCCGCACCTGTACTCATCTTGCCAGACCCCGAACGCGACTACGTCATCGAAGCTGACGCCAGTGACCAGGCAGTGGGAGCAGTCTTGATGCAAGACCAGGGAAATGGACTGCAATCAATTGCCTACCTCAGCAAGATACTACACGGGGCAGAACTAAACTACCCAATACACGACAAAGAGGCCCTTGCTATTATCATCGCCTTCAAAACGTAGAGATGTTATCTCGAAGGACAGAGAACAACCGTTTTCACCGACCGCTATAGCCTGAAATATCTGACAACACAACCAAACCTCTCCAGGCGTCAGGTCCGGTGGATTAACTTCCTTGAGACGCAATTCCACTATGGCATCGTGTACAAGCCCGGCCACAAAAACAAAGTAGACGCTCTCAGTCGGCCTGCACACATTGCCGCCATTCAGGTCAAAGGGATGAACCCACTCCTCAAGGGACTCTTCACACATTGGTACGCCATTGACCCCGAAATTCCTTTGGCAACAAATCGGCACCTGCTACAGTGGGACAGTGACATCGCATACCGGAAGGGATCAACGGAAATCTGGGTACCCAATTACCCTACTTTGCGCAAGTTACTACTCGAAGAATTCCACAATGTCCTATACGCAAGACACTTCGGTAGCAACAAGACGCTCACCGGTATTGCAAAGCACTACTACTGGCCCCACATGGCAGCCGATGTCCAACAATTCGTCACCTCGAGTGCTACATGTCAGCGGATGAAGAGCAGCAAGCAGAAAAAGCCAGGACTGCTACAGCCTCATCCTATCCCAGAACAGCCATGGCAAGTGGTTAGCCTGGATTTCATCACCGGGTTACCAACTACCACTAGCGGTCATGACGCAATCCTTGTCGTCATTGACAAATTCTCCAAAACGGGACACTTCATCGCGACACACACGACAGCACTCACCGAACAAACAACACAACTATTCATTCGCTACATCATCTCATAACATGGCATTCCAACCACACTCATCTCCGACCGAGACCCCAAGTTCACCAGCAAGTTCTGGAAGGAACTGATGTCTCTGCTTGGGACCAAACTCGCCATGTCATCCGCCTACCATCCGCAGACAGATGGACAGACCAAGCGACTCAACCAAGTTGTAGAGTAGCTCCTCTGCGCAGCATGCAAAGACGAAATCTCTAAATGGGACTTGCATCCGCCCGTCATGGAGTTTGCCTACAACAACGCCACTCACGCCGCTACTGGACAGACGCTGTTCTTCCTCTGCTATGGACGCGACCTGCTCATGCCACAAAAACCGACAGCATCAGCCACAGTCCAACCCACACACGACTTCATCACGACCATGCATCAGCTGTGGGATCGAACCCACAAGCGCCTCCTCGACATTCAGCAGCAACAAAAGCGCCAGGCCGATCGCCACCGCACTGACCACACCATCACCGTGGGACACCAAGTTCTACTTGACACCCGCAATATCAACATCAGTCATCTCCCATCCAAACTGCGACCTCGCTTCTGCGGGCCCTTTCTCGTTGACGCACAGGTCACTCCTGTTACCTTCCGCTTCCGCCTACCAACTACCTGGAAGAATCACAACGCCTTACATGTCCAACTTCTGAAGCCCTATCGAGACCCTAACACGGTCTTCACCAGACGCCAGCCCCCGCCGCCGCCCGTCCTCATCCACGATGAACCCGAGTACGAGGTCGAGTCCGTGCTCGCACACCGCCGTCGTCGGAATGGCACTATGGAGCTTCTCATTCGTTGGAAGGGTTATGATCCTTCTAAGGATACTTGGGTTCGTGACACCGAGATGGGTGAAGCTTGTCGTCCTCTTCATGAATACCTTGTCAAGCAGGGTGTTACTTCTACCATCCAGCTTTGAGGGGGGGGAGTGTGAGAGAACGACCCCATTACACCAATTTCCCTTTCCATATCTCCTTTCTATTTCATTCCTCTTTTCATCTCATCTCATTTGGTTTCCTATTCCTCCTATTCCACTATCCTTTGGTTTATCTTGATATTATAATTATATCACCGACCAGGCTCAGGATGTACTGGCGAACTATATCTAGCGTAATCCTGCCATAATACCTTGAAGCCAATAGCCTCGCGTGGCTATACGCAGGGTGATTCTATCTCTAGAAGGGTCTATTCCCTTTGGGTAGGATAAACCTGGTTACCTGATGTACTTTGGAAGTATAAAAGAACCTTGTATCAATCGATAGTGCAACTTTTCCTCGACACATTCGATCCTGTGACAGCTGCTGTAGCTCGCACAGGTGGAAGTAATGCAGTTGGATGACCTTCATTTTGCCCTCAAGTCGAGGCTCCTGACACAGGAGGATCATGGCCTTGTTGTCAGCGTACAGAATTTGGGCAGAGCTAGGCTGCTCACCTAAGTCTGTGAGCAAGAAGGCCAGCCAACGGAGCTCCTGTGCCGACATGGCACCAACGTAGATCTCAGCCTCACTGCTAGACTATGCAACAAACGACGAGCGAGTGGACCCCCACGAGATGGCGCCTGCACCAAGGCTAAAGCAGCAGCCCCGGGAGGACCTGAGTGTCTCAGCGTCGTCCGCCCATGAAGTGTCTGTGTGCCCAGTAAGGACCACTGGCCTGCGTCCTCCCAAAACTAACCCCATGCCCGATGTACTTGCTAGATAACGCAACACCCTCTTAGCTTCCGACCGGTGCTGTGGTCGGTGTCTGCCTGTGGCCACAAAGCGAGCCAGGATGCTGAGAGGGTATGCGAGTTCTAGACGAGTGCAAGTCATCAGGTACATGAGGCTCTACGTAAGGACCACTAGGCTCTACAGACTCCTCAGGGACTGGAGCCGAGAGCTCGTGATCTACTTGCAGAGGGGTGGGCTGTGCGGAAGAGAGCTGAAGGCCGAACCTCTGAAGAACGTGGCGCACCAAGTGTGATTGTGTAAGAGTGATGGTGCATGTTGCTCTGTCCCTGGAGATCTGCAGGCCGAGGTAGCGGTGCAACTCTCCGAGGTCAGTGCACGTGTGTCTCCTCAGCAGCCCATCCTTCATGGAGGCCAGTGCATCTCTATCTGCAGTATCAAAGAACAGGTTGTCTACGTAGACAAGGATGGAGAACGGGGTATGGCCAGAACAAACGAAGAGCGAGGGGTCTGCAGACGACGGAAAGAACTGCAGGTCAGCTAGCGTAGCACGCAGCATGTCGTGCCACTTGCGGGGCGCCAGCCGCAGGCCATAAACCGGGTGCCGAAGCAGCCACCCGATCCCAGGGGCGAACGAGCCAGTGAAGCCTTGCGGGCGACGCAGGTAGACCTGCTCGTGCAGACCGCCCTGAAGAAACGCTGTGGAGAAGTCGAGACAGTGCAGCTCGTAGTTACGCTATGCTGCTACGTGTAGCAGCGCTCGAAGAGTGGTCATCTTTGTGGTCGGGGCGAAGGTCTTAAAGAAGTCAACACCCTCGCGTTGATTGAAGCCTCTGGCCACGTAGTGCGCCTTGAACACCGACGGCTCTCCAGGAGGGCGCTTCACCTTGAAGAGCCACCGGCCATCGACTACGTTCACCCCAGGTGGGGGAATTGCGTCGACGTAGGTGCTGGTGGATCTCCAAGATGCCATCTCCTGCTCCATGGCAGTTGTCCACTGAGAGGCCTAGGGTCCGGAGGTCGCCTCAGCATAGGTGCGAGGGGTCGGGATGTCGAAGGCATCTCAGTCACCCTCAGGGACTAGCAGCATGGAGCAGAGATGAGGCGCTACCTTGGACAGCAAGGCAAGCTTGTACTGCCTGTCCTCCGGGACGTCACTGCCAAGGCCAGGTGCACCCCCGACGGACAGAGTACAGGCAGGGTTAGAGACAAGAAGTGTGGCGTAGTCAAGGCGGCAGGTAGAGGCAAAGTCAGTGACGGCAGCAACAAGCACGTCAAGACTGGAGATAGGAACAGACAGGTCGGTAACGAGGAAGGCAAGGACCCGAGGAACAAGAGGACTAGCAGCACGAAGGAATTTAGAAAAAGAAGGCGGCGCGACAACAAGCGACGATTGAGGAGGCGACAGGAGGAGGGGAGGACGAGACGCATGAGAACGAAGCAACATAGGGTGAGAGCGGGGAACAGGAGAGACAAGACGAGCATGAGAGGGACGGCGAGACCAGACGTGAGACGGAGGCGTTGGGTCAGGAGACAGCGGAGGAGAAACAAGAAGGGAATGAGGGGGAAAACGAGCCAGAGACAAGTCCGGCGGAGAAAACACAGGGTCGTAGAGAGGCAAGGGAGGCATCAGCAAAGGAGGCGAAGGCGAGGGGTCGGGGGATGGAAGACCGAGGAGGCGAAGGGCCGACACCGGCGGCGACTGCTGCTAATGCGGCTCCACGCCGACACCAGAACCTCCAGCTGCACCATGGCTACCTCTGAGAAGCTCCACGCCAACACCCCCAGAACGGGAACCCTCTCCAGCACTAGTGCCACCCCAGGACCCGTGGACCCCTGCGGCGGCTGCTGCTGCAGCGGCGGTGATTGCGGATGCGGCCACGGCGGCGACTTCTGCGGCTGCGGCGTCGGCGATAGCATTTGCTGATGCGGTGGTGACGACGGAGGAGGAGACACTGGAGCGGAGACCGGCGGCGAGGACAGAGCCGCGGGGCCATCAGAGTCAGACGACTCCTCGAGCTGGACAACCGACGGGAGGGGAGTGACGTGAGACACACCAGACGGGGCAGGATGGTGGGGAAGAGGAGCAGGGGATTTTGGGGGAGCGGGAACCAAAAACAGGGGCGGGGACATCGAGAGACCTCTGTAAGGAAAGCGGTGGTAGAAGGAGAAATACTCGTCAAAGGTGACAT